ACTACAAGGGTGGTGGTGGTGGTGAGGGGAGGGTGCAACGGCGGGGGCTTCACTAATGTGGTTCAGTTCCTCAGTGAACACAACCGAACTGAAGCACCATAGTGCCACGACACTCACTAACACTCCCTTTCCAAAGACGCCCATTTTCTTTCTTTCTTTTGGATTTGGATGATATGAGGAAATGGGTTTAGGCTCCTTTTATAGGCAGGTTTTAGGTTTCCATCGATTCATGAGATATATATTATGAGTATTATTCAATAATAATAATAGTAATAAGGGAAATAAATAATAATTTCACTAGGCTAGTGGTGTTAGCATATACTTAGCCATCATGTGGTACATCTCAAGTTTGGCTAATTTTTGTTTTACCGTTATAAAAATATTTTCTTTCGACATATATAAATATATTACGAATTAATTAGAATCGAATTAGACACATAGAAAATAAAAAAAATTATTGTTATAAAAAATATTGCACATCTTGCCAAAAAAATCCTTTTTTTTTATAAACGTAAAAAAAAATCTTTTTTAAGTGATGATTGGTAAATAAGTGATAAAAATAATAAATGGTAAAAAAAGAATTAATTGAGCTACCCTTAGCAACAAGATACATCTACTTTCCGGTTAACCATCTCGAGAAAACTCCAAAGTTAAGTGTGTTCGCTTTGGAGTAGTCTTAGGATGGGTGATCTCCTGGGAAGTACTTTCCGGGATGTGTGCGAGCGAGGACAAAACACGTTAAAGGATATCGTGTTGGTGTGTGAGCACAGTTTTGACATTTCATATCGGTCTCGACATCTCCCACTAGATCGTGAAAATCCATATGAATGTCTCTTCCCAAATAAAGACTTAAACCCGGGTGAGAAGAAATTTTGCTTCATCTCTTGCCGGTTCGACCACGCAATTTCAGAACTTCATTAGATTATCAAACTGGAGGCTCCAACAAATCATCAACAAATTAGTAAATAATACTACTTTTTAGCATCTTATAGTATATATAAGCACATAAAGCTTATTTCAAAAATAGATTTTATCATTGATATATACATATTTAAATCTATTATCAATATTTTTATATTAATATATAAATTTTACGTACAATTTTTATATTATTATCTAAGAACAAAAACAGAAAGTATTATACAACATTATAATCGGGTAGATCTAATTTTTGTCTATTTTTATTTATTTTTTTCTCTACAGTTTAGACAAATAAAATTAGTGTTGATAGAGACACGTCATGATACATGCATGCAATCACCCAATGTTACCTGCAAAAGTATGGGAAATGACAGCAGAGGCAAATGGACCCACCCCTTTACTTTAACCCATCTTTGGATTCTTTGGTATAACGTCTCTAACATAATTATTGCGTTTGAATATGATTAGGGCTCCTAGGGATAATTACATTTCATATATATATATATATAATTATTTTAACCATTAATGCCGTTAGAATGATTCTCTTGGTTTTTCTAAATACAAAACAACTATATATAAATTACATTATGTGTGTATGTATATATATTGTATATATATATATGTGTGTATGTGTATATTAACCTATGATTCTTTGTAATCCATGTCTAGTTAGAGATCTTTTGAAATTTGATGTTAATGACCTTTCCAAGTATTTTAATAATTATGGCGGTTTATTTCATGTGTATATATTATTCCATTTACATATGTTTTTAAGTTTGAAAGAACAAGAATAATATATATATATATACACACTAATATACATATATAATCATTCTTTCTATATTTTCAATTCTAGTATTCCTTACAATTTACTAAGATTTATAAATCTGCATTTCATAGATTATGCAAAGTACTTATTTTGAGACTTATATCAATATTTTTTTATTGTGATGATTATATCTGAATATCCAATAAGGTAATTCTTCTGATTAGATGATAGAAACTTATTGATATATTAAATTATTTATTTTCATTCGCAATGATAATTGAGTTATTATTTTTAAATTTTGGATATATCACTATTACTTGTTAAAGTCTTTATATTACCAAAAAAAAACAATTGGATAGTTTTTCTGAATATTTTAATTTTTAAATAGATTTATACTCTGTGAAAATTTTAAAATATTTATCAAGAATATATTGACTTTCAACCTATGTGAACGTTATGAATTTATGGTCCACACATGTTAGAGTGGAGCTAGCTGCGCTTGGAGCGGCATCATCACATTACACATTTATTGTTCAATTAAAATATCCATGCTTCTATTATTATTATTATTTTTTATTTCCAAAATTTATAGCATTTGTAATAAATGAGAATTCGACGCGAATATAATCGAAATTTTAATTTATATGTAATTTAATTCACTCGTTGAAACAACTACAAAATAGTGCAAATGTGCATAAATACAAGTTTCGGAAAATGTTTTTTTTTATTTATAATTTTGTAAAATACTAATTAAAACAATTCTTTATTTATCAAACACCATTGTCACTTCTTCACTCAATAGCCGAACATAATTGTTCAAGTGGGGAAGGTAACTAGAGAGGAAATAAAAGAGAGTGATTTGGGATAATTTTAGTGATTTTAAAATATAATTTATAAAAAAATGTTTCAATAAAATAAAGTTTAACTTTTATTTTAATACACCGTACAAAGAAATATAATAAAATAAGGGGTAGAAGTTTCATAGAAGACGGGAATTTTAAGGCATCGATCGAAACAAAGTTTTGTTGCAGATAATATGGACATAAAATTACTATTAAATCCCACATTGTGCGGATCTAATAATTTTTGTTGACATTATTTTAGAAACTCTTCGAATTAAATATAATATTATCTCGTGACAATGAATGTTTTGTGTTCATTGCTGTTATGATGCGATCGCTTTGTTTATACTCACTCTTGAACTCGACCGAATTTGGATATGAGAAGGTCGATTCAAGGATCTCGTTCTCTCTCTCAAATCAAGAACAATCAATAAGGATATAGAAAACGAATGATACCGGATTTACGAGTTCAGTACGAACGATGTGTTCGTACCTACATCTTGGAAGAAGGGAGGGAAATTTCACTATGATCAGAAGGTTAGAGATTACAAACTCGATTCTTCAGTTTAAATGAGTTGTTTCAACACCCTGAATAAACCCAAGGAAACAATTCTGTTTCTACCCTTTTGCCAAAGCCTCTAGTGCACTTAGAGTCTTTCAATCGTGTATGTATATGGTTTTGTCAGACAACTATTTAACACACTCTACTTTCCCTGTAAAACTCTACCTGGTTATGCAACTTTTTTTCCTTTTTTCCCTCTCTTTATCCTTCCTCTATTCTTCGGACACCTGCAACAAACTTAGCAACTTAGCAGTGTACTAGGCTTGTTAGCTAGAATGGATGTGAAAGCCCAGGATACCGTAGGAGGGCGGGGAGTGATCGCCGGTGCGAGAGGCATGGACAATGGGCGGCTCCTGACGAGCTTCTGGGTAGGGGGTACAGGGATGAAGCGGACGCACCGGAATGAGAGGGATCCGAGGGCTGTGTAGGTATGAGACTACATAGTCTAAGGTAACTTAAAGGAATTAATTGAGTTACTCATAGCAACAAGATGCATCTACCTTTTCGATCGTCCATCTCGAGAGAACTCCAAAGTTAAGCGTACTACCTTTTATGAGTTCAGTATTTTTAGACTTATGTTAGAATTTCATTATTGAGACTTCCGCTGCAGATTTTGAGATGATAGTATGATATTAAGAATAAACCGAATCTTTCTTTTTAAAACCTACGTGACGATTCAATGGTTGCCGAAAGACCAGATTTTGAGTCGTTACAGATGGTATCAGAGCCTGGTTCTCTTCCAGTACGGTGTGGTTCGTGGACGAACCAAGCGGAAGCTGGTGGGCCTGTGACAGCCCAGGATACCGTAGGAGGGCGGGGAGGGATCGCCAGTGCGAGAGGCATGGACAATGGGCGGCTCCTGACGAGCTTCTGGGTAGGGGGTACAGGGATGAAGCGGACGCACCAGAATGAGAGGGATCCGAGGGCTGTGTAGGTATGGGACTACATAGTCTAAGGTAACTTAAAGGAATTAATTGAGCTACTCATAGCAACAAGATGCATCTACCTTTTCGGTTGCCCATCTCAAGAGAACTCCAAAGTTAAGCGTGCTACCTTTTATGAGTTCAGTATTTTTAGACTTATGTTAGAATTTCATTATTGAGACTTCCGCTGCAGATTTTGAGATGATAGTATAGTATTAAGAATAAACCGAATCTTTCTTTTTAAAACCTACGTGACGATTCAATGGTTGCCGAAAGAACAGATTTTGAGTCGTTACAATGGATTTTGTCAACAAATCCGCTGGATTAACGTCAGTATTAATCTTCTCAATCTGAACATCTCCTTGAGAGATTATATCGCAAATAAAATGTAATTTTACATCGATGTGCTTCGTTTTTTCATGATGCACGCTATTCTTGGACAAATCAATGGCGCTTTGAGAATCACACGTAATCAGAAGTGACCTCTGATTGAAGCCGAGTTCACCAAGCAGTCCTTTGAGCCAAAGACCTTTTTGATAGCCTCGGTTAATGCCATATATTCGGCCTCCTTGTTGTGATAACCCATAAATTAAAAGAAAAAAATAAAATATTTCCAAAAAAAATTTGTCTCCCGGACCAAGTTTTGGTCCGGAGCTGACTAACCGGGCTAATCAAAATTTTGATCCCAACATATTTGGTCGGTTTGGTCCGCCAGACCAAGATTTGGTCCGGGACTGACCAAATCCAGTTGACCAAGAGAGACCGCCGGACCAAGAGAAAAAGAGAACGGAAGATTCTGATCTAGAGCTGAACGAGATTTGGTCCGCCAGAGTAGATATGGGAGAGTCATCTCACAGTGACAATTTTCACCGATTCTCTGCCATGTCCTGCTTCGTTTTCACCGAGCTTTGACCCCTTTGTGCCACCTCTTGCTTGTTTAAAGGAGCCTTCACACTTCTTTTCCCTCCTTTTCTCGTTCAAGTTCGAGTTCTTTGCTTCCTTTTTTATTCTCACACACCCTCTCTCTCTCTACCTTCTCTCTCTTTCCCAAGGTAAAGTATGTGAGTTTTCACAGAGAGTCTCACCTTGTTCTTAGCCCGATTCGAGTCAATTTCATTGATTTCGGAGTTCTATGAGTTTTTCGTGCATGATTGA